AGATATCTTCGCTCAAAGTTTTAAAGAAATTTAAGATAATTATTTTGATAGGCATTTTGAGTTTTTTTTTTTAAACTTTGAGCGAAGATATCCCGACAACCACTTGACCAAATTTGATAAAATTTTTTTTATTTGAATCCTCTTACTCATAAAATCAAAATAAAAAAAATTTTATCGAATTTGATTAGGTAATTGAAGAGATATGGGATCTTTGCTATTCAAATGACCCTCCGAAGCATTGTTACACGAGGTTTTTATTAAGAAAAGCTATTTTTAGAAAAAAAAATTCATATCAAAGTTTTTATTTTGTTAGAGGGGGGGTATGATTAATAAATATAGGGGTATAAAAACTGGCCCTTTTTTTATTTTGGAGCATTTTGCGCATGCTCAAATTGTTGCATTTATTAACAAAGTCTGCACCAAGTGCGGTTAGTGTAAGTTATCAATTAAATAAAAATATATAGTTTATTATACATATAAAATTTTTTAACTAATAACATGCCAGAGTGACATTATGGCATACTATTTGCTAAGTGGCATGCAAAAATTATTGGGCGTGTCAGGTTCCTACCGAAAGGGCGTTTGCAGTTGCTAGAATCTACGGACTCCCAAAAGTAGGGGTCATCGCGGAGATAAAACACGTGCCAGCCAAATAGAGAAAATGGAAGAAATGGCAGTCTAAACCTGCTTTGAGATATTAATGAAAATGTCGGGAGATATTAATGAAAATGTCGGGAAGGCTAGTTTGCTAATATAAACATACCTAGCCCTAACCTAAAGTTGCCCTAGTCCTAAAATATTAATTTATATGAGTTATCCCCATTTCATATGTCTTTCAAAAGTAGAAAATTATAATTTATAGTGTCATTAAGAATTCTTTTTGATTCTCGGAAACAGTTTGTACGCATTTTCAGTAGTTTGCCGAATCTATAAATTATAATTTAATATATTTCAATAAAACGAATTGAATGTAAATAGAATGGTAAGAACAAATTAAGCAATTACCACATCAGCAACATCTATATTTTTTATTCTAGCTATTTCTTTAGCACTTATTACCACGCTGTCTGGCTCGTTGTCAACGCCCTGTTCAGGTCCAAGAGCTGGTGAGTCTGTTTCAAGTAATAGATTTGATAAAGGAATAGCAGCCGCCAACTTTTGTCTTTGAGGAGAACGAACTATTGAAGGTGGCATCGAGAAAAAGAACCTTAATATCGTAACGATTTACGAATTTATAATGAATAATCAAAAAAAACAAAAAAAAAGAGAAACCACGTAACATTGTAACTTTAATGATTAACAAACCCCATTTCAACACCTTTGTTTGCGTACTGTATTCGACCATCAAATGCGTGCATTACAACTTTTCTTGCACCATAATCTCGCAAACAATTCAAAGCATGGTGTCCTGCAGAACGAGAATGAACGTTGAGAGGAAGATCAAATTGAAGAGATAAATCTATGTGACGCGCCAAAATGGTACGCTGCACATTTTTAAGTTCATCGTCGCTCAATTTTAAATCTGGATAAGCATCAATAGCACTATTTAGGATGCGTGGAGTAAAGTCCAAACCAACTATGAAGAAAAGTATAGATTAGTAAAAATATGCGAGCGCAACATCAAAATTATATAATTTTACCTTCACCAATGCCAACCAAATCTGATGATTTATCTTTTATAAACTGAATAATGCTATCTGCTTGATCCACTTTAACTAAACTCATGGCGCCCTGCGGCGCGGGATGCAAGCCCGCGCACGGCTCTATCATATCTCTAAGTGAGCTTGATAATGTTAAATCATTTTTCAATTCAAAAATGCTTTGAGCATCCTCTAGTATTTCTGGAACGGTGACAATTGAAGATACGTTCGCGGACTTCGCACGAATTAGAATTTGTTCGATAGGCGTAGTTGGAAAGGAAGAAGGATACAGGTGTGCGTGCACATCGACGATATGCCCGTCCATGATTAATAGAAAAAATAAAAGATCAATAAATGCACTTTAGTGATAACTCATACAGGGGATAGATTAGCGGGACCGGGTAAAATCGCCACCCAAAAAAGGACCCATTTTTCAAATTTCCTTTTTTAAATTATTGATGATCGCACAAATTGACCAATAAAAATTTGTCATGCAGTAGAATTTGATTTAACATTATATTTACCGTTACACAATTGTCACTTAAATTTTTCGAGTCTTCCTTGTATTACTTGCGTAATCGAATAGCTTAAGTTCAGTGAAATTTCATTCTTTAAAACATAAGAAACCGGTACCAGAGTATGGAAAAAAGAATTATAGAGAAAGTATAGTACTTAGTAATATTAATTGTGACGGCTGATGCTGAAGTTTGGCTGATGTTGAAGCTAAAAAATCTGATTGGTTAGGGTTAGGGTGATCTGCAAAATTTAGCCAATCAGATTTTTTAGCTTCAACATCAGCTAAACTTCAGCATCAGCCGTAACATTAATTATAGACACTAATTAAAAAAACCTTTAAGAAAAAAAGAAGCGAACTATAATGTTCAGCGTTAAATTTGATCTTAAAAAAAAAGCTTCATATATATGCTATTAATTAAAGTCGATAATACTTTAATACTTATAGTTATACCAGTCTTGCTAAGTATTTTTATTATTATTATACAACTAACCACAAATAATTTAAAAATATTATGCTTAAAATGAAACAGTACGTGTGCATATGTATTATTCGTTAAACAAGTTAATGGAACATAATTTGATTAAAAAGCAGATCAACCGACTTTAATGAATGGGAGAAAAAAACTTATTATAAAGTATAGTATACAGGTACTACATATTTTAAGTTTTAGAGATATTATATTATGTGGGTATAATTCATAGTGCATAAGTAAGTTACAGAAAAATTCTTTTAAATAATTTATATCAACACCATATTGAACATACATTACATTTTGTTATACTTTATTAAATAGGTAACTATGTTATATATAAAGACTATAGATAATGTTTACTATTCACCTTATTCATATCTTATAGTTTAACTTTTGTATGATGGTTTTTACTGCTGTTTTCTTTCTTGTTCAAGTGGAATAATGCTGGCATCAGAAGCTACAAGTCTATGATGATTTGTTTCTTTATGTATAACGTAACTAGATTTTGTGTGTTTTTGAAAGCATCTAAGTTAACAATGTTATGAAGGTGAGATAGTAAGGTATTTTGATCATTACTGTTAAAATGTTCTTATGTCGATGAATGTTTAGATTTAACTAGATTTTGAAGGAACATTAAGTTATCCTGTAATTCTTGAAGACATTTTGAAGTAGATTCCAAGAATTCTTTGATTTCTTGTTGATAAATAGCAGCAGTGTTTAGTTTATCAATATTAGTTATATTATATTTTAGTTGGGTTGATACAGATATAAGTATGTGAACTTAGTAATAAGCAAACTACTTAAATAGGCAAAGTTGCATGTGTGACTAGTTGTATCCTCCAAATATGTATATGGTATAAAAATCATACTGTAAAAATTATAACTATAATCTAATAAAGGTACATAACAGAGAGGTCATCTTAACATCGAAAAAAAAAAACAGATGTAAGTATATTAAATTGCAATACTTTTATTAGAGTATTAGATCCAAGAATATGCCCAATATAAGTAAGGATTTCTTTAGATGAGTTTGATATAGAACTATTAATATTATTATTATTTTCATTTTTAACATCTTCGTTTTTATTATTAATGTCATCCTTATAACTTGAAGGTATTTCAAATTTATCAGCATATATATTAGATTGAATATTTTGAGATTCTTGATAAATTGGAAAGGTTATTTCAGAAAAATATAAATATTGTTCTTGCTTACAAAGATCTTTAATGTAAAAAACTGCAACACAAAGATGTTTGCATATGATTTCTCTTTGAAGAAAGTTTAGACATTGATAGCAAATATCAGTTAATTGTTCATATACACAAGTTATGTAAATTAATTCTGACATAGTTTTGAACTCAACTTCAATATAGATCTTTTCAGAAAGTTCTTCTACCTCATATTTTATTACTTTATTTATTTCAATTAGTTTTTTTACAAGTTTATCATATTTTATACTTGAAGATATATATGCAACTTGTGAAAATTCTTACATAATAATTTTGCAATTAGACAGGTTCATTATATTAAGATCTTTTTATCATTTAGCTTTTTTATATTCAATATTTATAGCAAAATTCTGTAATATTAAGATATTAGAAATAACCTCATATACAAGAATAATATATAGTACATCAGTTCTAAGAAGTCGATTATTTTTTTTAAATTGGTTTAATTGATTATTTTTTAGATACTTGTTCATCCCTTCAAGATGGTTATTCATAGTAGGAAGTTTCTCTAAAGGAATTTTAAGGGTTTTTGCAGTATTCATTTGTCTATTAAATACCAACTTAACAAAAAATTTCTGCTCATTGTTTTTTCAAATAAGAAAGGAAATTTAAATCACTTTTTAAGATTTTTTTATTTTTTAATATGGTTTCTTTCTTATAAATAATTCTTTTTTGTTCATAATATAATTATGTATCATCTCTTTACTACTATCTATTACTTGAGCTTCATTTAAGACACTTTTTAAAAATGCTTTTATGGTTTGTCATAATAAAATTATTTGATTTCTACTACTACAGCCTAATTGTTTATTTATCTTATTCTTACAGTACTGACTGATATGAAAGTAGCAAATAAGTAAAATGATTTCTGGCCATACTTTTGATAATGGTTTCTGTTCTTTAATATTAGTATTGATCATCACAACACAAGAACTAAATATAACTGAAATAACTGAGAATTAATTTTTATTATAATTATCACTAATATTATTGCAGAAGATTATAAAAAGCTGCTCTAGAATTTTACTATTATATCTAAAAGATATTAGTCAATTAGATCAAGATGGCATAAAGAGAATAAAAGCAATAGAAATGCCTTTGTAAATATTATCAATAATCATGATAATAAATAAGAGCAATTTGTGTTTACTAATTCCAAAGGTTTCATCAATGAGGATAAGGTTTTAATAACTATATTTTCATGTATATTCTTGTTGTTCACGAGTACAAATAATGATCTCAAGACGGTCAATATTTTTTGTATGAGGTTGGTAATATAAGCATACTTTCTTAAATTCAAATTGATCTGCATTTTGTCTAAGTATTTAATCCAGATTTTTTATGACATCATGTTTAATATCAATACCCATTGATTTTTTAATACTTGTTTTTTAATATTAGTAATATCTATCATAGTAAGTAATATTTTAAAATTTTCAACCAAGGTATGATTTCCAAATACATTTTTTATGATTCTTGCATTCTGGGCAAGAATATCTGGAGTTTTTATATTAAGATTTATTAAAAATTTTACATTCTTTTTCACATAAAGTAAGAGTTTATATATTGGATCACATTGTAGTTAAGAAGACAAACATTGTTTAATATATTTCAAATATTCTGCAATATCACAAATTTCATCGTCACGAAAAAAAATTAAGACAAATACAAGACACCCTATATAGAGTTATCATATTACTATATAGAGGTGCAGAAAATTGGTGCCGTAGGGTTACGTCAAAAAGATGAGCGGTTACGTCAAAAGTGTCATAATAGCGTATGTCGTAATAGCCGACATATGCCGAAACTAAGTCTTTGTTCATAACTCTGATATTAGACATGATGCAGGATGTGATATACGTAGTTTATTAATAAACTTTCTGATAAACGTAATTTAACTTTCTTGAAAATAAATAG